CCCCCTGTGAGGACCCAAGAAGAAACAGGTTATATTCCAGGTCAGCCATTCTGATTCTGGCCTTTATTTTTACATCACCTGCTAAAGGGGAATAAAGCCACACCCACTTCGGATGCCGGGAGACAATTGGAAACCCGAAGAGTAAAAGCGACTTGCAAATCTCGTCGCTAAATCCACAAAAAATGCTATCAAACTTACATTCTTTGCTAAAAACAATGTAATCTACTTAATTTTGAATATAATGTGCCTCCAAACCTAGCAAAGAGAAGGTCAGTTCCCTGCCACGCTCCCTCCAGGGCTGCCGGGCCTCAGCGTAAGCCACCACTTGCATTCTTCACCCGGTGATGCCCGGGAAGCAGAGAGGCCGCGCCCTCAGTGACGCATTTAAGCTGCGCGTGACGTCACTGCCGGGCGCCGGGTGGCACGTTGGCTGGGATTTCCGCGGGCTTCCTGAGACAAAAATGTCTATGGCTAGCGATTTCTACCTGCGCTACTATGTAGGGCACAAGGGCAAGTTTGGACACGAGTTTCTAGAGTTCGAGTTTCGGCCGGACGGTGAGCGGAACAGGGGACTGTGGCGCGCGGTGCGAGAGCGAGAGGTCGCGGAGGAGGGGAGGCGGGATGAGGGGAGTAGCCTCGGTGGGCTAGGGAGTATACAGTGTGGGCGGAGGCCCCTGCTTCGGCCGAAGTATGTATATATAAGAGGCCTACCTTGGTTTTGTGAATAATCGATAATTAATTGCTATCAATTAATTCAGAAAAGTCAGTCCCGTCACATACTGAAAAATTGAACCTACAGTAATCAGAATCCCCAAATCAGCGCGCCTCAAGGGACTTTAAAGGTTGGTAGGATATTGCCCTAAGTTTAAATGCCAGAACATTTTAAAAACACCCCCACCAAACGGTGGTCCAATAGATATTTAAAGTCTTTCGGTGACCAGTAACTTTCAGCTTACCCATTCATTCATTTTATACATTCAGGATGTGTGTTTTAAGGCTGCTTCGAATAGGAGTCGCAGGTGTAAACAAATGAGTCTTAATGGTATGCTTTAGGTGCTTAAATACAATTGATCACTGTAGGATGCGCTAAATGTACAGAGAAAAAGTGAAGAGACTAATTCCACAAGTGGGAGTCAGGAAAAGCTTCCTAGAGCATGAGACTCTTCAGATGAATCTTGAAATGAGAGTAGGTATTTTGTTGATCTCTGAGGGAACAAAGCTGTGAAAGCAGTAGGTAGAGGGCTAGTCACCTATCTATGTAGTGTGTGCCAGTTCTCCTTTGACAGCTCTGATTTTCTTTAGAAGGTGTTAACTGTACACCGAATCACGAGGAAGTTCAATTGGATAGTTTTTTTAAATGCATATTATGTGCTGGGCAACATGAAATACAAAAAATTGAGGGTATAGTAATGAGTTAAATTTTAATTTTCCTTAAGGAGTTATGTCTTGGTGGGAGATAGAGATGCGTAGATAACCATAAAGCAAGTATGCATATTAAGTGCTGTATGCATGCTTTGGACAAAGTTCTGTATGAACATGAATGCAAAATTAGAAGAAGATCATTATATATTAGGAAAGGGGAAGAGTAGCAAGCACTTCACTCAAAATTCACTCAAAATTCAAGAGAACTAGAGCCCTGCAATTATTTAGAAACTTTAATCATGCTATTCATTCTTACTCTCCCAGTGTCTCTTCTGAATTCAGCCCAGGAGCCATGTTTAACAGAATTCTTCTTTTCTTTTATGTGGCATTGTTTTCAGTCCTCTTGCCTGTGAACATCATCCAGGTTGTCCTTGTCACTTTTAACCAGTCACATAAATAGCCAAATATAATATCAGGGGAATTTCATGCTAAAAGAGTGGTTCTTAGCCATTTATCTGCCACCACAACATTCTGTATGCTTTTATTGGTAATAGTGAGTTGAAAAGGCTGATTTCTAAGGGGTGCGTCTGGTTAGTATAATCTATCACATTGTAGCTATATCTGGGCTTCTGACCAGCCATCAGGAGAATTATGCATTGGGCATTACGAAAGTGATGATGGATTAAAATTAAATATAAATCAGCTAACAAACTGGTCACATTTTATCCAGAAGTAGCACAGAGTTTGCTTTGTATGCTTCCTAGTCATAACTGTAAAATTAACATTACCATAATTATATACATAC